TAAATTAAACTTGAATTAACAATTCAGCTGACTTCTGCCTACAGCCTGGATGTGCTTCTAGAGAAAAATCAGCCATCTCATATTACAAGGAGACAGGCACTCTTGAAGATGTCTCAACAGAAAAACAAAAATTCAAATTACAATTTTTTTTTTTTTTTTTGATACTGGGGATTGAACTCAGGGGCACTTGACCACTGAGCCACAACCCCAGCCCTATTTTGCATTTTTTAAAATTAGAGACAGAGTCTCACTGAGTTGCTTAGTGTCTCGCTTTTGCTGAGGCTGGCTTTGAACTCGAGGTCCTCCTGTCTCAGCCACCCTAACTGCTGGGATTACACCTGGCGAGTTCAAATTTCTGATGTCACTGAGCTATCTTATCAGCCCTATATTGCCTACTTCTCATATTCTTACACTTGATGAAAATAAAACCCTCATTTGTTGTTGTTTTGAAATAAATTTATTGTGCATATTTAAGGTATACAATATGACATCATGGGATACATACAAATAGTAAAACTTTATTACAGTAAGCAAGTTAACATATCCATTATTTCACATAGTTATCCTTTTTTTTTTTTTTTTTTTTTTTTTTGGCTAGAGTAGCTAAAATCTACTCACTTAGCAGAAATCTCAAATTTATTTAGAGATCTCTGCTATTTACAGTAAATACAAATTCTGACTCCTAGGCTCACTATAGTTTTTTTTCTCTCATAGCAACATAAAACCTTTTAAAATTATAAGTGAGACTGTATTGCCTGTTTCCCATCACACCTAAATTGAGGTCCTTTAAAAGATAAACTAGGCCTTCTCTGACCTGGTCCTTCAATCTCTCCCAACTGATCTCTTTCTAAATCCCACCACAATTCTGCTTCCACTATTCAGCTCCAGACATACTGAAACTCTTTAACACTTGAACAAGCCAAACTTTTTGTGTCTCAGAGCCTGTGTTAGTCAGCTTCTGTGATAAAATACTTGAGAAAAACAAAGGAGAAAGGTTTAGTTGCTCAAGGTTTCAGTCCAAGGCCACTTGGGCCCATTGCTATGGGCCTGTGGTAAGGCAGAACATGATGGCAGGGAACACACAGCAGAGCACAGCTACTTAATTCATGGCAATCAGGAAGTGGGGGAAAAAAGAAGAGGCCAGGGATATGATATACCCTTCAAGGACATTCGCCTAGTCACCTATTTCCTTTAACTAGGCCCCACCTCCTAAAGTTTCTACTAGCTCTTAATAATGCCATCAAATTGTGAATTCATCAATGGATTGATTAATCCATGATGAGGGTACAGCCCTCATGATTCAATCACTTCCCCCAAAGAGCCTCACCTCTAAATACTTCTGCACTGGGAATCAAGCCTTCAACGCATAAGGCTCTGAAGGACATTCTAGATCTAAACTATAACAGAGCCTTTGCATTTGTTGCTTCCTTTGCCTGGAATGCTCTTCCCTCACTTCTTTCACATCTCAACTCAAATGTGTCTTCTCCAAGAGACCTCTAACTTTTTATATGAAACTGACTTTTTGTGACTCCTCCCACTCTTACAATTCTTCTTACCCTGCTTTATTTTTATATGTTAAATACTTGTTTGCTTATTTATTTTCTGTCTTTAACCCTAGAAAGGAATCTCACTGAGGTAAAGGAACAATGTTTTCTTTAGCACTATATCCCTAGTGTCTGGCCCATACTAGGGCATCACAAAAATCTGATTAATAAATGAATACACATCATGATCTCATTTAAACTAAAGAAGACTAAATGTGTGTGTGCATGTGCATAACACATAAACAGTCTAAAATATACAATATTAATACCAATAACCTTGGGGAAGAGAGTGGGAAGAAAAGTAAAGAGGGACTTTCACACTTTGCATATTTCTGAATTTATTTTTAAAAAAGCAAAATTAAGTACAACACATAACAGGAAGAAAAGAAAAATTAACATATTTAGAAATACAAACCTATCTTTAGGATCTTAAAATTTAGAAACTCATACTAACTTCAGTAAGCATAAAACTCAAAGGTCCTTGGTTAGAAAAAACATTGAGAAACCCACCTCTCTATCTATATAGTAAGCCCCAGAACCTGCTTCAGTGTCTGAAAAGAATCACTTTCATTCCAGTAGTCCACTCATTCCAAGCTTGTTTTCCCCAAATCTCCCATGAGTAGTAGATTCTATGATTATCAAATAAAATTAATGCCCTTTAAGCAAACTAGAATTATAGGAATAAAATTTCTTGTTAAACTTCTTATAACCCTCATAAAAGTTTTTATTGTCACTTAAAAAAAACAAAGTCTACTAAATAAAAAGTATATATATATATATTTTTTAATTTTTTGTAGTTGTAGATGAACAGAATGCCTTTATTTTGTTCATTTTTATGTGGTGCTGAAGATCAAACCCAGTGCCTCACGCATGCTAGGCAAGCACTCTACCACTAAGCCACAGCCCTAGCCCAATAAAAAGTATATTAGTAGTTTGCTACATATCAAATTAATAATGAGTTATATAGAAATAATTACCATCCACTTACTATCCCATGCTCAGTAGAAACATTTAAAGGTGTTCCTCTCCAGAGGATTCATCTTGATAATTACTGCTTTGTTCATAAAATATGCATCCTAAGAGACATCTTTTTTCTCTATCTAGTTCTCCACCCAAATTTAGTGCCTTTTAATATTTTTACAACTTTATTATATGATATCTTACATATCATATAATTCATCTATTTCAAGTATACAATTCAGCAATTTTTAGTAAATTTACTAAGTCGTGGAACACATCACAAGTCAGTTTTAGAGATCTTTATCACTCCAATAATATCCTTCATGTTTATTTACCACTAATTTTTGTTCCCACCCCCTGTTCCAATCAATCACTAATCCATCACCTGTCTCTATATATCTGTTTACTCTGGACATTTTCTATAAATAGAATCATACACTATATGATTTCTTGGATCTCACTTCTTTCATTTAGCATCTTTTTGAGGATCATCCACATGGTACCATGTATCAGTGATTCATTCCTTAATATTGCTGAACAGTACTCCTTTGTATGGATGTGCCATATAAGTGCCCTTAGATCTTATGATTTTAATGTTTATTTTCCAAGTTGTACAATGGATGTAGGATAACTTAAATAATTAGAGTAGGAGATAGGATCCCAGAGGTTTTTTGGTTTTGTTTGAGTGTGGTTTTTTTTTTTTTTTGGGGGGGGGGTGCCAGAAATTTAACCCAGAGGCACTTTACTACTGAGCTACATTCCCAGCCCTTTTGGGAGTTGTCAGTTTGAGACAGGGTCTTACTAATTTGCTTAGAGCCTAAGTTGCTGAGTTTGGCCTTGAACTTATGATCCTCCTGTCTCAGCCTCCTAAACCACTGGGATTATAGGTATGTGCTGCCACACCCAGCTAGAGCTAACTTGTAACTAACCCAAAATAACATAGGTGAGTGTTTCTCAAAACCAATCCAGTTTACACAGAATAAGATTGTCCTAGCTTCACTCAACATCATACCATCAGGTATGATGTTTTTAATATGCCTGCCCTGTCCCTTTCTCAGACAAAAACAAAAGGATAGTTTCTCTCCTATGACTCTTACTATGCCTCTGGTTTCTAACCCCAACTCCTTGTTTTCTCTCTCTTTAAGATTATCTTCAAACTAATAGCTTTAAAATGTCCATATTATCAAAGTTTCTGAAAAGACATATTAGAAGTAAATATCTACATATTTTGGAACTTTATTTAAGACAATCTGTTGGTCTTCAGATGTGTGATCCCTGTAAATATTTTCTTCCTATATAGAAAAAAAATTATGATTTAAAACCTCACAGTAAAAATATTAAAAAATCATAAGGATCAAATCAATACTTGGCACTCTCATTTAAGAGAATATCAAAGAAAATATAGTAATCAAGCACAGTTTTCCATTATTTTCTCTTTAGCATGATCTTATTACATATTTTAAAATTCAATCCTATTGAAAATGCTACAGTATCATTATTGTCTCACCTGATTTATGTTGCCTAATTCAGGTTAAATGGATTATTTAAAACATTAAGTAGAATGATTACCTAATCAATTATAAAGCTAGATGAGCAGTAGTAATGCAGGGAAAGAGCTATACAAATCCAGCAACATACATCTTATTCCTAGACTTTCCGAAGTCTGTCTTCTACAGGTGGTTCCCAGTTAGTTTGAAAACAACAAAAATAAGATTTATGTGAATACAGCCAAAAGCTTCCTCAATATAAAACATTTTCTTTTTTTTTTTTTTTTTTTTTCGGGCCTCGATCAGAAGGACTTGGGCCCCCCACGAGCGGTGCCGGGGTAAAACATTTTCTAATTAAGAAATTATTTAACTACCCCCTTACTGGTCTCCATTATAATTCTTTTGGAGTACTTAATAGAATAAAAGCAATAAAAAGACAGTATTAGCTACATGTAATTAGAGTAACCTTACAAGATAAGAAAAAATAATCAAAGTGAGTATTAGCAAGGAGAATTGTTAAAGATGCCAAGAAAAAATAAAAAACACATACACACAAATATGTGTTGGGGGTTTTTTTGTTTGTTTGTTTGTTTGGTAGACTGTTACTGTTGCAGGTGTGTGATAGGCCCTATAAGCTACACTTCCATTTTTAAAAAGACAACTGAAAAGTTGGTTTTAAAGTTTATTTCTATTAGAGCTCCAAATCTAACCAGGCTAGAATAAATATTATGAAGGAAGACAGGTTCTGCATTGTAAATTTTTAAAAACTAGTTAACCATACTCTCATTAAACAATCTTTAATGTCATTATTTTGACATTAAGAAAATTAATGTCACGGGGCTGGAGTTGTGGCTCAGTGGTAGAGCACTTGCCTAGAGCATGCGAGATCCTGGGTTCAATTCTCAGCACCACGAAAAAAAATAAAGGTACTGACAACTACAACTAAAAATGAATAAATAAATAAATATTAAAAAGGAAAATAAATGTCATGATAATATGTATACTATACCTTTCTCAAGCATTCATATTCCTCACGAAGTTCCCCAGGCTTGCTTATTTTGATTGGTGCTCTGAATATAAATTCTAAAGGTGAAAGGAAAATAAAAATACTTTTAAATAGGATTTTCTAGGAAGGAACCAAGACCTTGTCATACTGTTACCCCCACATTATAAATTACATAAAAAATTGTGATCGTCTTAATTTGAATATTAATTTATTCATTTAACAAATATTTATTAAAGGTTATAAATCAAATACTATTCTAAACACTGGAAGAAGTACTAGCAAATATAGTCTTTGCTCTTACAGAGCTTACAACCTCATGGTAGAAACAAACAAGTATGTATGTATGTATGTATGTGTGTACGTGTGTATACACACATACAATTCACACACACAGAATAAATGCTATGGGGAAAAAAAAATAAACGTAGGGTGCAAGGAAAAAGTTGTTTCATATAGAGCAGTCTAATAGGAGCTCACTGATAAAAGTAACATGTTAAAAGACCTTAAAGGAAAACTATATTTAAAGCTCTTAGTTTAGCAGTATACAATGATGCACGTCTGTAATCCCAGCTACTTGGGAGGCTGAGGCGGGAAGATCTCAAGTTCAAAGATAGCCTCAGAAATTTAATAACCCTGAGTAACTTTAGCGAGAATATGTCTCAAAAAATAAGGACTGGGAATGCAGTAATGAACTAAAAATAAAATAAAGTTCCTAGGTTCAGTGTTACCAAGTAGCATTTTAAATGAGCTAAAGTTTTACTCAGAACCTTGTATTTTTGTATTTCTTTCTCAACACTGCCAAAGTGTTTTCCTGCATATAACCTGTATACAATCTTGTATATATTTTCAGTATGTTACCTGATATTTTTTTATCCTTAAAGCTTTCAGTGGTTTTGATCAGACTACAAAATAAAGTCAAAACCTCTCAATATATCCTTCAAGGTTCTCCACAGACTGATTACTAATTCTTTCTAAAATACTGTTTTCTCTCAACCCTTGACTATCTAATCACAACATAAATACATATACTGTTAAATTTTTATGTTGTTTTCTCAGCTGTAGTTATGTCTTCTCTCCTTCTCTAGACAATTTTAAATCTGAGCCATTAGGTCCATAGACAGCACACATAGTTAAATATATGGTAAAAACCAAACTGTAGAATAGGAATAAAAAATGCTATCAAAAAGGAGAAGAAAGCACACACCTTTCTCTCCCTAATCGGGTATTACATCATTTCTATATATTTAATTATCTAACTATAGTCATAATTTTAAGACTTCCTGATAATTCTATATCCATTGAGATTGAGAAATCTTTGCTCTAGAAATATAAGCTACTCAAAATGTTGCCTTTTGTCCTTTTTCATTTGTCTCAATTATTTTATTAAGAGTATTTAGTAGTATACTGAAGAAGGCTGGGGCTAGGGTTGTGGCTCAATGGCAGAGCACTTGCCTCGCATATGTGAGATACTGAGTTCGATCCTCAGCACCACATAAAAGTAAACAAAAAAAAATAAAGATATTTTTAAAAAAAGAATGCAGAAGACATTCAGAACCATTAGATTAAGAGGAGGAGGAGGAGGAAGAAGAGGAGGAGGAGGAGTCTTCTGTACTATCTTTAGGGGAAAAAAGGAAGGCAACTCATAAAAATAATATTCACGAATTTGTACAAATTCACAACACAGAAAAACAAATAAGATTATAAGAAATTAATCCAAAATTATGGTAGGAAGTTTCAACATATCACAATTAATAAATTAGGCAAATCAAGTAAGTAAAAATATACAAAAACTGGGACAATAAAATCAACAAATTTAATCATGTATATTTATACATATTTATACATACATACACATATGTATACACATTTTTTTTTACCCAACAAATAGAATACATATTCCTTAAAGCAAAAAAGAAACAATTTAAAATGCTGATGATACACTAAGTCACAAAGCTATTTCAAAAAATTTCAAAGAATTCATACTATTCAGACTTTGATCTTTGATCCTGGCTGCCAAAATATTTCCCATGCCTCGCTTTCTAACTATCTGGTTGGTGACTATATTATACAATATTCTTTCTCAATAAATTATTTTTAGAAATATGTTTAGTTGTAGATGGACCCAATACCTTTATTTTATCCACTTATTTTTATGTGGTGCTGAGGATCAAAATCCAGTGCCTCACACAGCTAGGCAAGTGCTCTACTACTGAACTACAGCCCCAGCCCCTCAATAAATGATTTGTATTATTAAACTTTCAGAGCAGATTTCTGTCTAACAATTTTGGCTGATCCAATTTTTTACTTGGTACTTTGAAATAACCAGTAAACAGAATTTAGAAAAACTGGTAAAAGAAAAAAAAACTGAGAGAAAATAAAATACTCAAAACAAAAAGAAGGACTTATATACAGACACTTCTTCAGAGATTATTAAAACAATTCTGTAATGAGTGATACTGTATATAGATCACTTTGCATGTCTGCAAATACATCCATATAGAGAGTGCTGGAATCAGATGACTGGGTCAAAAAATAATGTGCTTTTTAACAGATAATACCCAATTGTCCTTACTAAAACCTTTATCAATTAATCCCACTAGCATTATATGAGAGTACCTTTTCTTCACATCTTTTCCAAAACAACTGTATTGAAAATTTAACTCTGTCAATCTAAAATGTGAAATCATTTATTTAATTTTGTGAGTGAAATTGAGTACCTTTCATCCTTTATTCTATTAACTGTTTCTTCTTGATTTGTTACAGCGCTCTATATTAGGAAAATTAGTTCTTTGTTACATGAACAGAAGTGCTTTTCCTACTGTATCAATTGTCTTGACTTTTCTTAGAGGTTTTTTTATAGTTACATTATTCAAACTTTTCTTTTATGTCTTCTGCATTTTGTATCATATTTGCAAAGACCTTTTTCAGGTCAAGATATAATAAATTTTGCCATAGTTTCTTTTGGTACAAACCGTAAGATTCAACTCAGATCTACCTTTAAAAAAATCTAAATTTTTATTTTTCATTTGGAGAGCAACACAAGGAGAATAATCTTATTCTGGCTTGTAAATAAGTCTACTATCCAACATAAGAAACCAAAAATATTTGTAGAGATATCCTTGTAAAAAATGATGATTTTTTTAGGGCTAGGGATGTGGCTCAAGCGGTAACGCGCTCACCTGGCATGCATAGGGCGCTCGGTTCGATCCTCAGCACTACATAAAAATAAAATAAAGATGTTGTGTCTACTGAAAACTGAAAAATAAATATTAAAAAAAATTCTCTCTTTCTCTCTTCTCTCTCTCTCTAAAAAAAAATGATAATTTTTAACTAACTGTTGAAGAATTTGCTCTAAAATGGTTCTTGGCAGGCATTGCAGTACATGCCTGTAATCCCAGCAACTGGAAGGTGAGACAGGAGGATCATAAATTCAAAGCCAGCCTCAGCAACTTAGCAATGCCAGCCTCAGCAAAAACCCTAAGCATCTTAACAAGATCTTTTCTCAAAATAAAAAATAAAAAGGGCTGAGGATGTAGCTTAGCGGTAGAGCACCCCTGGGTTCAATCCCCAGTACTAAAAATAAAAAAATTTAAAAAAAGTCTCTAGCTGATTTTTACTACAAAATGTCTCAAGAGCTTAATATCTTTCCCAGCGCAGCGCTGCACGCCTCTAATCCCAGTGCTCTTGAATTATATTCATCTTTTTTTTTGGGGGGGAGGGGTACCAGGGATTGAACTTAGTAGCACTCAACCACTGAGCCACATCCCCAGCCCTATTTTGTATTTTATTTAGAGACAGGGTCTCAATGAGTTGCTTAGTGCCTCACTTTTGCTGAGGCTGGCTTTGAACTCATGATCCTCCTGCCTCAGCCTCCAGAGCTGCTGGGACTATAGGCATGCAACTGTCCCAGCATCATCTGTTATATAATGTAAATAAAATAAAGTTAAAAACCTGAACCCCAGAATATAAGGTTCAGATGAATATAATTCTGATTAATAATATTATGTCAGGATATTATAAGAGTGAAAACATTCTGTAAACTATTTTAGGAAGCAGAGTGACATATAGCATAATCTATTAGGCATAAAATTGTCTCTGGTGTTAGTGGGATCACTTTGGGACAGTTACTAAGAAATATCAAAGTTTATATAATGCTATGTAGAAACTAAGCATACTGACTGAAATCTCATTATGCCTCTGATGTAAGATCAAAAGGTAAAGGATGGGCTGGGGCTGTAGCTCAGCAGCAGAGGGCTTTGCCTAGCATTTGTGAGGCACTGGGTTCGATCCCCAGCATCACATAAAAATAAGCAAATAAAATAAAGGCACTGTTTACAATATCTACAACTATAAAAATTTTTTTAAAAAAAGGTAATGGATAGGGGTAAGGGTAGGATACCAATTTATACTCACAAGAATTAGTAACAATATAAATAATCTTGGGTTAGAATATAAAATGCTGAATAGTCAAGATCATTTTTGCCCCAACAAGATTATACTGCATTAAATGGGAAAAAAAAAAAAAGCTTAAGAATAGATAGCTTAAGGTAATTCTTGAATACCAAAACAGTTAAGCATAAAAAATTGTGAATGGATCCAATGTGACATTAACTTAAACATTTAATCCTATTTCCCACTTTAGAAATGCCTTCTAGCAATGCCAAGATGGAAAAATAACCTCTTTTTCCCTCCTCCTTCCCATTTAGGCTTGGAAAAGGGGGATAATATTAGGTTCAGATACTTGCTCTGTCAAGTAAGTGAAAGTATGTAGAAATGTTATTTTGGTCTCCTCACCTATCAAATGAGGACAAAAATACTGACCAACATAACCTCAGAAAGCAGGAGACCACAATTAAAAGTATTAGTAGGGGCTGGGGATGTGGCTCAAGCGGTAGCGCGCTCGCCTGGCATGCGTGCGGCCCGGGTTCGATCCTCAGCACCACATACAAACAAAGATGTTGTGTCCGCCGAAAACTAAAAATAAATAAATAAATATTTAAAAAAAAAAAACTTTAAAAAAAAAAAAAAAAAAAAAGTATTAGTAGTGGTGGTAATTGATGAAGAATCCCTATAATAA